CTCTCATCATTGACGTTTCTATCTCTCTCTCCCTCTCCCTTCCTCTCTGAAATCAATAAAATATATTTTAAAAAAAAGAAGTGTAGGAATAAATGTGTGTTGTAATGAAGCCACCAAATGTGTAAAGATTTGTTTGGCAGCGATAGGAAACAAATGCAGGGATAATTACACTGCATTTTTGCCTGATGTGGGTTTAGACTCTAACCTCTCACAAGATGCCATGTCACTGTATTTGCACATCTCTTTTCTTCTCCAGATGTGAACTTGTCGAGAGCCTGGCCTTGCATCATGTCTCTCTGCCCAGAGCAGTGCCTGGCTCAGAAGAAGCGCTCAACTGACCAGCTGACCGATGCTTTTCAATCTTCTTCCTACACGTCTTTTCTCTGAGCAATGGCAAGATGTTCTCTAGCTTTATTCTGGGTATCCTGGTAGTCCCTAGTTCAGGGCTGAACAGTCATATGTGTTGAGTAGAGATAGAGAAAGGGGGTGAGAGTGACTTTTATCTGGAGCCAGGGGCTGTCAGATCCATGTCCCAGGGGACCTCTGCCCTCTGCCTGGTCCACCCTCGCATGGCACACCCCCCTCCCGGATGAAGCAGACCCAATACTGGCACACTTCTCTTTGATAACATTGCTCTAAGACTCAGCACTGGGCGAGCAGAGACACAAGCTTTCAGTAAGGCTGCTGGGCCTTAAATCATGCCTCTGATTGGAAGGAAGTGTCCTTGCTGGTGAAAAGCCTCATGTTTGACTGGAATCTGAAGCTTCAACTACTCTATCCAGCACACGTATTTTTCCTGTGCTCCATGCCAATGAGATTACTGCTGAGTTTCTAATGCTGCAGGGTGGGCGTGGCCTCCCATAGGATGCTGCAACTATGCCTGAGTTATCCAGTTGTCCTCTCAGTGACAGCTGACCACTTCCTCCCAGAGCTCCTCTGTGTAGCCTGGACCAGCCTTCTGCATGAGACAGGTGTGCTTCCCAACTTGGCTGTTATCCGTAATGTCTCTCAAGGAGCCCAAATGCCTCTCAAGAGGCTTGGGGCCACATCTGCCACAAGGAGGCGGGCTCCTGCACTTTGTCTAATGTTCCCAAGCTCCCACAGGGCAATGCAAAGCCCACCTTCTAAACAACCACCACCCTGGAGTTTGGTGCCAGAGCCCAGAGCAATTGAGTGGGAGGTCAGATCCTTCCCCTTTGAATAACAACTGGAAGAATCAACCGAAATGTCCATCTCTTGGTGATTAGTTTAAGAAGTTATGCTACATCTATGGCTGCTTTAGATATAGTGTTGAATGAAAGAAGAATGGATTAGAACCATGTTATATATGTAAAAATAAAAGAACATGCATATATATATTCCTTTGTAATGTATCTATTCCCTTAGCTCAGTATTTTTCTTCAAGAAAATCTGGTGGGATACACCAGGAGTTGGCAAAGCTTTCCTGTGAAGGGCTGGGGAGTAAATATTCTAGGCTTTGTGGGCCAGAGGTCTCTACTGCAGCCCCTCAGCTCTGCTGTTGCTGCATGAAAGCCCCACAGACAATCCAGAAGTGATGAGTACGACTGTGTGCCGATAAAACATTATTTACAAAAACAGCTGGTGGGATTTGTAGTAAACAAAAATGTTGAAGTTTGGAGAGGAAAATACCTAAGAGATAGTTAAGAAGGGACTCAGCACTATAAACCCTTGGCACTTGCCAGGCATGCAGGGCTTCCCTCACTGAAATGAACTAAATCACCTTGTCAGGAGACATCCACGGCCCAGACTGCTTGAGTCCTCCCCTTCGGCAGGAGTATCAAGGTCATCCCAAGAGAAAGTGGCTGTGGTGGGGGAAGGTTGGAGTATCAATTAGGAAGTCTTGGGCTGCACGTAAAATTTATTGCCACAATTAGCATCTGACAAGAAGTCCCATGGCTGGTTCATTCAGTGGCTATGCCACAAATCTTGGGTCTTTTCCTTCCGTGGGGCAACTGCAGCATTTTCTCTCCAGTCTGTCCTCACTGCAAGACAGTGACTGCAGTCCCAGGGGCTCGCAGACTTGAAAAGACAGCAGAAGAAGAGCCCATCTCTCCCTCTACAACTTTTTAAAAGAGAAAACCTTTCCCAAAGCCCCTCTGTGGGTACCCCTCTGTGTCTCTTCGGCTGGGATTGTGCCACATGGCTGTGATAAACTAACCCTGGGCAAGGACATGGGATTGCTACGACTGGTTCAATCAAGGCAGGATCTACCAATGAGCTGGGGCAGGGTCCAAGTCACTGTATACAAGAAGAAGAGGGCAATGACTATAAGGGCACACTCAGCTGGGTTTGCTAGAGCTGGCAAATAAGTGGGGTGACTTGACTCTACACCCCAGTACCTCTTCTCTCTTGGCAACCCCTAGACAGGCCCAGGATGAACAACTGGAGCCATTCGGGTAGTAGCTCTCTTTAAGAAACACTTTCAGGTGAAGGGGGTGGACCCCTTGAAAGATTTTGGTTTTGGCTGAGCGGCCATTCTCTTATGGTTAAACTCATGGCATCTCCCTGGCTCTGAACTGGCCAGCAAACTGTTGACAGCCTCCATTTCTGACTGCACTGGACTCTCCTGGTTCCTGCTGCTACTGGGCTAAGTCAGCTTCTGTGACCTGAGCTCCTACAGGGCCTCCTGCCCATCTGCCCCTGTTTGCTCTCACCTTACTCATCTACATGGGGCTGTGGAAGGATGTTCTTAAAGGGGTTCCTTGCCTGAAGCCATGCTGCTGAGGCATACAGGCCAGATCGTTGGTATGGCATCTGAGGGCTTCTGTGATTGGCCTCATCTCCTTCGCTTGCCATCCTCCTGTGCTTCAACCGTCCCGCAAATGGGACCACCTCCTGGCCCTCATCTGCCTCAGACATCCTGGCCTCTGGCCTTGCTCCTGATGCTCTGCTGGCTGGTCATACCCCACTCTGGAGATGCTCAGCACGTCCTGGGCACAGGAACCCCTTCTTCAAATGAACTGACATGGATTTGCAATATGAAAAACAAGATGAAGGTGATCGTTTATTGGTAAAATTTTGCAAGTTCAAATTCAAAGCATTTGCTCATTATAAAGTCAATCAGAGAGAACAATGATGCTTTCTTTAAGAACACACACTGAACGGGGGTGTGCTTGACAGCTGCAGTCTTCTCTCAGCCTCAGCATCCAGATCACTTCCCTTTTAGGTCCCATTGCTCAGTGTCAAACAATTCTGCTTCATAAAGAGGAGAACTAGCAAACAGCCAAAGTTTTCTAAGAGCCCTCCATGTGCTATTGGGACAGCATTCAGTTAAAGTGAAAAAGGATCGATAGGAAAACCTTGTTTCAAAGATGAATCTCTACCAATATGTAACAACAGGAGGGCAGAAGTGTCTAGTTTTGAATTACAAATGTGAAAGTCAGTCAAGAAACACGAGAGTTTAAGAAAACACTAAAGCAAACCACTGTTTGTTTCAGCATGCCATATGGAGGAGCCAAAAGGCTGGGTCTGGGAAATTAAGAGCTATCTCAAACCACATCCACATCTCTCCCTAGAATCCCAAGGGATTGCACTCAAGCACTGGGCTGTTCTGGGCACCACGCTTTGGGAAATGCTGAGTGCAACAGTAATGATAATAATAATAATGGCAGCTAATAAATGTTTACTGTTTTAGTATCTTACACACACTTTGGTCAGCGTTTTCTCACTCAATCCTCACACCAACCCTATAAGGCATTTTTCTTCCCATTCTGTATATGAGGAAAATAAGGCATTATTAGAAAGGTTACATTGCCCCAGATCACACAGCTAGCTAAGTAGCAGAGTTGGGACTAAAGCTTAGATCTGAAACCCAATGCATCTAGAAATGTGTCATGACACGCTAGCAAGGCCTCCTTGATCCAGGGAAATGTGACAGCTTCTATGTTTAAATAGGAGCAGGTGCAGGGGTCCCATTAAGAGGAGCTTAGGCAAGCAGAGGCCTGTGGGGGTGCTCCTCAACCATGAACACCACCAGCCAGTACAGCCCTCTGGGAAGAACTGCTCTGCCTTTTCGGCAAGAAAAAGAATCCATGGATTAGAAGACCCTCCAGCAGGGAGAAGAATGAACTCATTTAACTCAGATTCCTGGAAATGCTCAGAGACCAAGCCCTCAGACTGAGAACTGCTACTTTGTGCGGGTCACCTAAAGACCTCTATGTGCCAGGCACTTCAGTGGGCACTTGGGTGCAACTGCAAGAGAGACAGACATGGCTCCTGCCCTGTCTAGCCTACTAGGGGACAACCTACCTTGGGTCTAACTGGGCCCCCCTTCATGGTGGCAGAAGTAGGCTTCCAACTGGCTCATATCCATGGACCCATCTCTCCTGCCTGGTTTAACAGCTAGAACCTGGGGACATGGAATAGAGGTCACAAAAGTCACACAACTCTATACCAGAGAAGAGCTATACTCATCTAAGAATGTCTGCCTGTGACAAAGTTCTAGGGAATTTACTAACCACTCCTACTTAAGAGAGCCTGTGTAAGGTGAAACTCTGGAGAAGATGTCAAAGATCAGGGATCAAAATGCATTCTTTGAATCTACTGTGCTTCCAGAAGTATAGAAGGTAAATAAAATAGATGGATTTCCTTGATGTTGTTTAAATGTCATCCCTAAGATGTGTTTCGGGAGTGGCTGTTTTCTAACTATGCTCAACTGTGGGCTGAAGCAGGAGGTTCCATCCTCCCCCTTCAACCTTGGGGACGATAGTGCAAAGACTGGGCCCAAGAGGGCAACCGGCTGCCAAAGGGGTATGCTTCCTCTCTTTATTCCAGAGACTGGTCAGTGCCTGGATTGGGTGGTGTAGGCCAGGTGTGTTCAGCCAGGACCAGCCTGTGGAAGGCCTTGTGTGTCTGAGAACTAGTCAAGGGCAGCTTGGGTAAGTCCAATCTAGGAACCTCTGTACCAACCCAAGAGCGGACCATGGCTACAGAACCCCATATCTCCTTCACTGGCACAGACCCAACCCAGGGTGGAATTCCTCTGCTCACTGTGGTTGGCTTGAGTGCCTGGGCTCTTAGGAACTTGTAGTCAGTCCACTGCTAGCCCTTTTTTGGACAATGTTTCTGTAGCAGAAGAGTATTCTGCATGAGAATAGACAGTCTTTATAAGACTGAAGCCAGAACAGAGTACAAAGATATGTCTTCCTTCACACCACTATTTTGAGATCATTTCCCTGCTTAGAGACTAGGTCCAAAGTCCTTGGTCTTCCAAATGTTGGTCATTTAGCTATGATCTACCTTTCTAGCCTTTATAGGAAAGGCAGTGGTCCAGGCAACCTGGCCCACCTCTGGCCTTCACTCAGCTATCTGTGATCTCGCTATCAAATTGCACACATGGGACTGCTTCCTCCTCATCCTCCAAGGTTCTGATGAAGGCCTGCTTCTTGGCAATACTGTCCTTGAGTCCCCAGCAGAGTGAGATTCCTCCACCCCCTGCACTTCTGTGGCTCTCACCCTGTACTCCTCTTGTGACATCACCACATTCAGTCTTTGTAATGTCTTGTCCACCCTAACCAAGTGGGGTCCCTGAGGGTGGACTCTGCACACTCCCCCTCACAGTGTCCAGCACAAGCTGCTTTGCACATGGGCCACTATGCATGCAAAGCACATGTATGGATGCCCATGAGCTCTCTCCATTCCTAACGTCTCCTTTGCAGACACAACAGAAGGTTCTAATGCTGACCTCAGTGGTCCTTGCCTTCTTCCACCAAATCTGAAGGCGGGGGGATGAGGTCTCGAGGATTCATTCTGGCCACCAGGCAGACATCATAGTTGTCATGCATGAGGACATTGACGGCAACAACATTCCACTGATTTTCCCATGGGTCCAACTCCAATATTTCTTTGGAGATAATCTCATGGCGATCTGAAAAACAGCAAAGTGGGAAGATAAAATATTATAGGGGTATTAAATTCAGAGTTCATAATCACTGTATTAAATAACTTTCTCTAAAAGACCAAAAATTAACAAAAAAACAATCAAGGTACAAATGAAAACACAGTTTTCCTGACATTTAAGAAACTATGAAAGGCCAAGTTACAACTAACATTAAAAATTTATTCAAGATGCACTGATTGTCTAAAGTTGAAAGGATGTTCCACTGTTATGTTAATGATTTATTGATGCCGTGGGCAAGAGACGAAACTGTTCTATTTCTACACCTGTGAAAGGAGGTATAGCTGGAGTCATATGACCTGTGGGAGTCATTGACCTCCTTGAGCTTATGTTTTCTTTCTTTTTTAAAATAAAATATTTTTATTGATTTCAGAGAGGAAAGGGAGAGAGAGAGAGAGAGAGAGAGAGAGAGAGAAACATCAATGATGAGAATCATTGATCAGCTGCCTCCTGCACACCCCCTCTGGGGATCGAGCCCACAATCCGGGCATGTGCCCTTGACTGGAATCGAACCTGGGACCCTTCAGTCTGCAGGCCAATGCTCTATCCACTGAGCCAAACCAGCCAGGGCGAGCTTAAGTTTTCTTAAATGCAGACAGAGATGCTAATACATAGCCAGGGTCCTTGCTGGAAACATGGCATATTCTACCTGGCTAATTTGAAAAGTTTAGCAAAGGGATTGTTGGAAAGGTGTGGGCAGAGTTTAGGAAGACCCATAGGCATGGCACAGCACCCCAGGACTAAGAACAGCAAGGACCATGGCCACCTGGAAGGCATTAGGGGAGAATGGGTACTGGAACTTGCAGAGGGCAACTGTCTGGAGAGTGCTGCCTGGCAGAAGCAGATTTAGGGAGGGGAAGATAGGTGCAGCCATCCTCAGCAGCCCTGCAGGGAGGGGGCAGGAAGGATAAATAAACTGACTCTCCTTTCACTCAAGGACATCTGCTCTGGGCTCCAATTGGCTGAGCCTAACCAGAAGCCAGAGGGGAAAGGAGCCGTGAATGGAACCCATACAGGTTAGCTGTGAAAGACAGACAGCAGGATAGAGAAGGGACAGGGTGAGTCTGCAGGGGCAAATGAAAGAGTTCCAGTCCAGCTGTCTTTTTCACAATTGTGTTATGATTAGAGGAGATAATATATAAAAAAAGTGTCCAGTCCTGGCATATAAAAATCAATGGCTTATGTGTGCTTGTAAAGGATGTGTATTTTTCAATTGTTGGGTGTAGTATTCCATATGTGTTAATTAGGTCATGTTATTTTACTCTTCTACACATTCACTGATTTTTGTGGGCTGGTTCTGTCAGTTACTGAGAGAGCTCTGCTACAAACATCCCAGTAAGATTATAGATTTGTCTTTTTCTCCTATCAAATCTTTAAAAATATATTTTTATTGATTTCAGAGAGGAAGGGAGAGGGCGAGAGAGATAGAAACATCAATGGTGAGAATCATTGATTGGCTGCCTCTTGCACGCCTCATAATGGGGATGGAGCTTGCAACTCAGGCATGTGCCCTTGACCGGAATCAAACCTGGGACCCTTCAGTCCACAGACTGATGCTCTATCCATTGAGCCAAACTGGCTAAGGCTCTTCTATCAATTTTTAGTGTATACATTTTGAGTCTGTTATTAGGTAAATATAAATTGTTATAATTTATAAATTTATCAGGGATACAAGATGGCAGCAGAGTAAGTGTAAGTTACAACCACCTCCTCCCAAAACCTAACTGGAATTATACTAAATTATAGAACAATCAACTTGAAGACTAGCTGAACTAAGTCTCATAACCAAGGATTTACAGAAGAAGCCAAATTGGGGCTGATAGGAAGGGCAGAGATGTGAAAAGGGCTGGCCCCACTCACAAGTATGGTAGCTGAGAATCCAGAGGGATAGCTCAGCTGCAAAGGTCCCCCTTGAGCCCACACCGGTTCCTGTGCCAGGAGCACCAGAGTTGGGAAGAAGAGCCCACATAACACCTGGCTGTGAACATCAGTGGGGATTCTGTCTACCAGAGAGAGACCCAAGTCTGCTAGAAACCCAGCCACCCTCTTAAAGGTCCAGCACACAAAATCTCATTTGCAGTCACTCACCCTGGGCTCCAAGAGAGGGAGGGTGGCTCAGAGTGGACTGTAGTCATGCAAGGAGAGATTGGATTGTGTGGCTCTGGGGAGAGAGCTGAAGGGACAGCCACCAGGCTCCCTGTACTGAGCCCCTCTCTCACACTGGCCACAGACTCCATTTTTCCTGAGTCCAGCACTCCCTCCATAGGCATCAGATGAAGGAAATGCACTAGCCCCACCCTTCTGACTCCCTGTCATCCTGCTCTGCTGAGCTCACACTCTGCAGAGGAGTCAACTGGCTATGGCCAGCCTGAGTCCATGATGCAGACTATCTAGGAAAGTTCTTGAAAAGGTCCAGGCAGAATTGGAGAGAGACTGAGTTACGTAGCTTTAGGGAGAGAGCCATTTCCCCCTCACATGCTCTCCCTTCACACAGCCAAATCTTGGTCTGTTAGAACAGAATGAACTTTGCTGACCTCATCCTGATGACTCCTTGAGACCTTGTCCCACCATAAAGGTCACCAGGCACCTGGCAGGTGGCAACTGGCATCGGTGTCCTTATGATTTTTGCTGAGTGGCCTCAGACCCAGCACTGGCATCGAGTTTGAGTCTGTATCAATCTGGTGAATACCACTTGCCACTACCTGGTGACTCACTGAGACCCAATCTCAAACAATGCATGTGCTACCCGAAGCTCTGCCAAAAGCTCTCACTGGCAGCTGGCAGGCAAAAGCAGATCTGGGGGTGCCCTGGGCCTTTTGCTGATGGGCCTCCAGGCTTGAAGCTGGTGGAAGCCAAACTTATTACACAGGTTGGCCTCTCACCCACACACCCAGGCACAGCAGAGACAGCCGCAAACTGTGATCACTTTGTAGCTCCAAACAGCTAGCCCAGCGCCTGTTACAGGCAGTGCCTGACATTAGCCAAGCAAGTACTGGCGAAGTTGTGGAGAAAAGGCAATCCTGATACCCTGTTGGTGGGAATGCAGACTGGTGCAGCCACTGTGCAAAACAGTATGGAGTTTCTTCATCAAATGAAAAATGGAACTGCCTTTTGACCCAATGATCCCACTTATGGGACTATATCCTAAGAATCCCAAAACACCAATCAGAAAGAATATATCCACTCCTATATTCATAGCAGTGTTATATATAATAGCCAAGATCTGGAAACAGCCCAAGTGCCCATCAGTACATGAATGGATAAAAAAAAAAAAAGCTGTAGAACATTTACACAATGGAATACTACGTGGCTGTTAAAAAGATGGAACTCTTACCCTTTGGACTTGGAGATAATTATGCTAAGTGAAATAAGCCAATCAGAGAAAGACAAATGCCGTATGATCTCACTAATATGTGGATTATTCTTTGGTGACTGGGTCAGTTAAGAAGCTCAGTCAACAACACAGGTTATAAAACATTAAAAAATAGATCAATACCTGCTCCATGGAATCCCCCGCAGACATAGAGCTTCCCGTCCACTGCTCCGGCATTGGTAGAATTGGTTCGAAGAGAAAGCATGGCACTTGGCATAGGTGGGCCCTCTCTCCAGAAGTTCCCATCAGGGTTATATATCTCCACCACATCAAGGCACTTTCGAACCTGGCCCTTATCTCGACCCACGCAGCCAATTCCACCTATAGAGAATGATACAGAGAAATGAGTTAACTATGAACAAACACTTTATTGTGGATAGCACTCCCTTCCTGCAATGGTTTGTATCAGAGATTTGAAATTTCTTTTTCTTGCTTGGTGTTACTTCTAAGCAATAGTGATGTCAACTAGGTATTCCATAGCCAAATGTCATTTTTATTCATAGTGTCCCATCTGCTTGTTCTTATGCATAAGGCTGATTATATTGCAGGCTTTATATTCTACAATATCCAACACTGGTTGACACAATGAGCACTCCCTTTAGAATAAGAACTCGAGCCCAGCCAGTGTGCTTAGTGGTTGAGCGTCAACCTATGAACCAGGAGGTCATGGTTCCATTCCTGGTCGGCGCACATGCCCAGGTTATTGGCTTCGTGCAGGAGGCAGGCAATCAATAATTCTCTCTCATCATTGATGCTTCTATCTCTCTCTCCCTCTCCCTTCCTCTCTGAAATCAATAAAAATATATTTTTAAAAAAAGAATAAGAACTCCAGGTTGGAATGTGAGGATAATTTGACTGACATCTGCCTTCCTGTTGATCATTAGCAATGATTTCACCAACCTTGCAGGCTAGGGATGTGTCCTTTCCATTCCTCATCATTGCAAGCCTTTTCCTCTCTTCTTAAGTTGCATGAATTCTTCCCCATTAGGAAAGGGCCATTATTTGGTAAATTTAAGGTTTGGCGTAAAAGGAAGGTCCAAACCCAAATGCTCAGTGTATCTTCCACTTTTGATGATACAGTTCATTAAAAAGATATTTACTAATTGCCTAATATATGCAAGGCAATGTGCTAAGAGATAAGAAGTTTAGAAAGATGAATAAGGCTTATTTCTTGACACTAAGAAATTAATGGGCTGTCACTTCTTTTATCTACAAACCGTTAACAATTACACATACTACCAATTTAATAGAGTTGCTGTGAAGAATAAATTTTTAAAAAGCAAACAAATAAATGCAAAGTATAAGCACCATGCACAAGTATGATACATGTTCATTAAATAATAACTACTAATATTGTTATTACTCCCCTCACATGACATCATTTGGTATGAAGGTCTTTGTTTTTATTCAATTAGAATTTATATATTATTAGTAGGAACTCATTCAAATAATGTTTTATTTTACAAAAGTTATCATTTATGATATCATTAATAAATAAAAAAGAAAATACTAAACAAAGAAATCAATGGGCCTGAAAGAGCCATGTATGCAAATAAATGGAGGCTATCATGGCAGAACCTTAAAAGAGATACAATTAGACTCAGAAGTCCAGAGGCTATAACAAGTAACAGAAATGGCATGTGCATAAGTATGACTTTAAGTACAACCCTCTATGAGAAAAGTACTTGCGTAAGAATTTCCAATAGACTGTAATAATAATAATACAAGTTTGTAGGCGATCTTTTTTCTTCTCTCCTCCAAAGTCCCACAGTGAAAGTTCTTAAATGTCAGGACCATATTTCCTGACCTGAAATATGGCTCCTTGGAAGGAGAGACACTCCTGTACTTGCAGACACTCTTCTCATCAGTGACCTCATTCCATGCATACCCAATTACCTGATATCCCTGATCTGCATGATCAATTCAAAAGACTTTGAAGGGGTCTGGCCATTTTTGTTCAGTGGTTAGAGCATCAGCCCATGGAGCAAGGGGTTGAAGGTTCAATTCTCAGTCTAGGTTATGTATCTGGGTTGCAGGAGCCCCACCCTTGTTGGAGTGTGTGCAGGAGGCAACCGATGGATGTGTCTCTCTCACAGTGATGTTTCCCTCTCTCTCTCTTTCTCTTTCCTCCTCCTCCTCCTCCTCCTCCTCCCTCCTTCCCTTCCATTCTCTCTAAGAAAATCAATGGGAGAAAAATATCCTCGGGTGAGGATTAACAACAACAACAACATGGCTTTAAAGTGCTGGCCTCAGGTTAAACTAGCTCTTTCCTGTAGAGAGGGCCCTAGAAGAGTCCTTGGTGCTTGGCTGTGTTGTTTGCTGCAATATCAAAACCAAAACTAAGAACTGCCCTGATCTCATGGCACTTACTGAACACTGTTACTTAAGACCTTTTATCTATCATTGCACTAGTCTGATGGTATTTGCATCATCATCTGTGTTTTTTATCTTTCTTCAGTACTGCATCCTCAGGACCTAGTACAATGCCTGAGACGTGTGTCTGGAACGAATGAAGGAGAAACTTAACTTTTCCTATGCTTTCTCAGTCTGTCCAAGTGGATGTATTTGTAAGCTCATTCAAGTCAAAGGCCACTTTTTACACATCTTGGATTTCACAGTGCCTGCCACACAGTGCTCAATGAACCCAAGGCTGCTGGGAACAGCTTATTTCCGCCATGGTTGGGACGTGTGCCAGGCATAAGCGGTGATGGAAGAGGACTTTGGAGGAAATCTTTTTTTTCTCTTTGCTGATGGAGGGTGGCCTGTTTCCTATCTCAATATGACTTTAGGGACGGAGGCTACCAACTCAGGAAGCTTTTAGCTACTTTCTCTCTTATCTTGCTGGATAAATAATTTAGCGCATTACAGTGCCAAGTCTGAGCCGCAGTGTTTCCAAGGAAGGGACATGCTTTCCTCAGTGAACTGCAGAGCTCTGCTCTTCATATTATAACCACCGCAGAAGTATAAGTAAACAGGTGCAATGAAAGTTACTGGCAATTAGGCCACAAACATTGAGGACTAACATTCTGAATGTAATTCAGAAGCTTCACATAAAAGCCCATTAGAAAAGCTCCCCCAACATAATGCATACAAAGAATGGGTATTCATCTCTTGGTTTTTTGATAATTAGAATGCTTGTCACTTTATTTTTCTGTTACTGAGTGTATTTAAATATAATGTCAGCCCTTACTCTACAAAACCAACCTTTTAAATATGTGCCTTCTTTTTTTTAATACTCACGTGAGGATATGTTTTTATTGATTTTTAGAGAGAGGAAGGGAGAGAGAGAGAGACATAAATCAGTTGTCTCCCATATACACCTCGACTGGGATCAAACCTATGTATGTACTCTGACTGGGAATTGAACCTGCAACCTTTTGGTGTATGGAACTATGTTCCAATCAACTGAGCCACTCAGCCAGGGCTAAATATGTGCCCTTTTTATTTGGTTGGTAGATGGTTCTCATGCTCTACTCGAGGGCAACATGGGCTTACAGGGCGTTCTGTCCTTGTTCTGACCATTAATACCTGAACACATTCTCCCTTGCACTTGGATGTAATTCCACAGTCAAGTACACTTTCAGCAAGATGATTAACAGCAGACTTAATGAGCTTAAACTGGAGGTGAATCCTGATTAGATAAACAATCAAATAAAAGCATGATCTCTATTAATAAGTCAGCACCAGCACTACAAGAGAACTCTCTTGATGAGAAGAATCCTAGGGTAGGATCAGCATATCTTTAGAATTTTAATGAGGGACCTCCATATCTTTAATTTACCTGCTATCAGAACCTGAGCCTGACTTTATTCCAGAACAGAGAAATGAATAGAAATTACCTTTTAAAGTCATACCCAAATGGACTTCAAATGCAAAATATATACCTTAGTGTTTTCCTGGTGTGTGTGATGGGTTACAGAAGAGAATATGCCTCCTCCTTATCATTTCTACGGAGATAAAGACCAGCTCTTCTTGTGTTTGGCTATTTTAGAGTCTTCCCCTTCTGTGGGGTGTGGGAGGAGATCTCTCCCCATGCAAAACCTGGCAGGGGAGCTGGCTGAGGGCAGGGGGGCGCTGTGCTTTTCCGACCGTCTCCAAGGACTTGCCACCCACTGTGCCTTGAATACCATGGTGCTTCTTTGATGCCCTCTGACTGGAGGGTTGCTTTAGGTGGCAGCTTACCCTATTCTCCCCTGGGCTGCATCCAAAAGAGGAGCGGGATTTTGTAATCATTCTGACAGGCTCCTAAAGTGGCTTACATTGCTAAATATGCTTTAGAAACAAGCTTTAGAAAATATATTTACTGTTGTAGGCTTCCATGTGTCACGGAAAAAGCATGCAGGCTTTTTGGAAACAGACAGACCCTGGTTCATATGCCTGTGTCACCACTTACTAACTGGACAATGTTGGGCAATATAATTTCTCTAAGCCTCAATGCTCTCATCTATAAGTTAGGAATAATAATACCAATTTCATAAATTGTTGCAAAGATTAATTAGTTAATTGTGTGTAAGAAACATGCCTCTGATTCATCTTCATAGAAAAGAAACAAAAACAAAACACAAAAAGAAAAGGAAAGAAAAGAAAAGAAAAGAAACAGCACGGGCCAGGTGGTTACTGAATTTCCCCAGAGCAAACAGGATGTGGGGGGTGGGAAGAGGGTATGAGAGCTGTGCATGTGGCCCATAGCACACTTTCCAGAAAGATTCCCCTAAAGTCCGTGGTCGGCAAACTGCGGCTCGAGAGCCACATGCGGCTCTTTGGCCCCTTGAGTGTGGCTCTTCCTAAGCCTTAGGAGTACCCTAATTAAGTTAATAACAATGTACCTACCTATATAGTTTAAGTTTAAAAATTTTGGCTCTCAAAAGAAATTTCAATCGTTGTACTGTTGATATTTGGCTCTGTTGACTAATGAGTTTGCCGACCACTGATCTAGAGGAGTCTCAACTGGGCTGACTGGGCACTTCAAGTCTCTGCCACGGATCTGTTCCATGCCAGTAGCTACCTCAGGAATGTCCTCATGGAGATGACAGAAACACAAGAAAGAGCAAGGCCTCTCTAGTGGTAGACTTAGAAGCACCATACTTGCACTTCTGCTTCATTCTATTACCCAAAGCCAGGCACATGGTCAAGTCCAGAGACAGAGGCAGAGGACACTTCAAAGTTAAATGCGCAAGGGGGTGGATGCAGAGAGGGTAAAAGATCATGCAACCCATCAGCAAGACCTATCAATTCTACCTTAGAAATACTTTCCACACCTGTCCAATACTCCTTCTATCTTATTGCTACCACCACTTCAGTTCACCATGATCTCTCTTACCTATCACCACCTGACTGCTCTGTCCAAATCTTTCTTGTCCATTCCTTCTCAGACCATTCTCAATGCAGCAACGAGAATAAACTTAAAAAGAAAACCTGCTCTGACCACTCATTTAAATAAGTCTGCCAAATGGTTTCCTATTGTTCTCAGGATAAAGGTGAAAATCCTAAGGCCTGAATTGTTTTCAATTTTCAATTGAGGGGTTATTTTAAAGCAAATAGGTGAACCTGGTGAAAGGGAGAAAGAGTGAAGAGGGAGTGTGGGAAAGAGAGGCTTTGTAATGACTTCCATGTGAGGACAGCCTGGGACCCCTTTCTCCAACCTCATCTCCTTCCATCCTTTCTTTCACTTTATGGTTGGAACACATCATAATTCCCCAACTTGTACACTATTTCAAGCCTCTGGGGTCTTACTTGGACTGCTCTGTGTCCAAGTAGAGTTCTTTATCCCTCCTTTTGGTACAGATTCAAAACCCTCTGCCTTTCTCCTTTCCTTCTTCTAAGGAAAAAGAAGAGAGAAGAGTGCAGATTGGTTTGACTCAGTGGATAGAGCGTCGGCCTGCAGACTGAAGGGTCCCAGGTTCGATTCCAGTCAAAGGGAGGGAGAGGAGAAGAGAGGGAGAGGAGAAGGGAGGGAGAGGACGAGGAAGTTTTTAGCAAAGGCTAAATACGTTAGTAACAATGTACCTACCTATATAGTTTAAGTTTAAAAAATTTGGCTCTCAAAAGAAATTTCAATCGTTGTACTGCTGATATTTGGCTCTGTTGACTAATGAGTTTGCTGACCACTGCCCTAAACAAAGGGAGGTGGAGGTCTCAGCTAGAAAGGTCTCAGCCCAAAGTTTTAATGGCCCAATGGAAGATAGCAAGACCTAGGCGAAGTGTGAGGAAACGGGTGATCTCATAGGATGCAGCCAATGGGGAACCGGAGGAGGGACTAAATAAATAGGCTATGTTCCCCGCCCCACGTGTGTGCCTTACCCTGATGCCGGCTCTCAAGAATGTTATTAAAAGTCTCATTTTCGCCCTGTTTCTGTTTCCCAGTCCATCATTTGAAATTTGGACAGGTGAGCCATTTCTCACACTATGTAAAGGTGGACAAGGGTAAAGAAGAACTTACAATTGCTGGATACCTATTCACAAGTATCACTATAAGAATTTTATTTATTCTCATGTACTGCATATAAGCAAAATGGCTAGCATACTAGCTACTCAATAATGTTAATTCGTTCTCCTTCACATTCTAGCATGCTGCGTAAGTAAATAAGTGTTTACTGATGTCGCCGAAATCTTACCTTTGCTGACTCTCAGTTTAATTATTTGCTGTGTCTGTAATTGATGACTTACTGATCAACTTTCTCTCAAGGTTGGATAGAAGGTCAAAGGGCTAATAAGCTGAGCCTTCCTTTCAGCCTTCAAGTGGGGAGAAAAGCTCCCTGCCTGTGACGCAGAGGAACGCATTCTACTGATACTGCCGAAATCTTACCTTGCTGACTCTCAGTTTAATTATTTGCTGTGTCTGTAATTGATGACTTACTGATCAACTTTCTCTCAAGGTTGGATAGAAGGTCAAAGGGCTGAGAAAGAAGCTGAGCCTTCCTTTCAGCCTCCAAGTGGGGAGAAAAGCTCCCTGCCTGTGATGCAGAGGAACGCATTTAGTTATAAACAGGTGAGAGAGGTAGGAGTTGTCAGGTGCCATCATACGAGGTAGAAAGGGACTTTGCATTCTGTCAGCTTCCAGGAGTGAAGCTGGCCCACACTTCTGAGGGGCTGGGCACTTTTAGACGCGCATGTTAGATACAGCCTGTTCACTGCTAATATAATGCTTGTGACCATTTCGTTCTCACTTGAGTTTTCTATTCTCTGACTTTTTTCTACTCGCATCTTGGAGACTACGCCCCTAAAAGACATGAACCTCGCTTCTTGTCCCTTTCTTAGTCTAACACAGGGTTCTTGGGTATTTTCAGGACAGCATTGAAAGCGGGCTCATTGCGTGCTTTTTACAAATTCTGGGTCTGCCAGGCAATGCTAATCTGTAGACAGGTGTCTTGGGCTCACAGAGCCTGGGCCGATGGTCCTCACTGGCATTCAGGCCATTCTCTTCACCTGCTCACCCTTTACTGTCTTTTGCCAGTTTTTCTCTCTCCGGGCTAAGGAAAAAACACGACCGTCTCTCTGCATTTTGTTTGCTCCTCAAAAGAGATGATCATGAAAATCAAATAAAAGAACTAACAGGGAAGACCAAGTTCCATTTGTTAAAGCTGGACTATGCTTGGTTTTGGAGGGAAAATCAAATGTTTGAAGCGTCTACATTTCCACTGGAATTGAAAATACATTTCAAATGAAAATATAGCACTCAGCACTGAGTCCTGGGTACCAGATAAGCTGCAATTACAAAATTTCTATCCCATCTGGTTCTGAATAACTCCTGGGCTTTTTGTGTTGACCCAGTATTGGGCCTCAGTGAGTTTCAATGTGCAAGTCAAGTCTGGGCCTTACTCTGTCAGTTCTTCCAAACCCTTTTCTTTTCAATATGTTTTTATTGATTTTTAGAGAAAGAGAGGAAGGGAGAGGGAGAGAGAGAAACATCAATGAGAGAGGAAGACATCAATAGGCTGCCTCCTACATGCCCCCTACTGGGGATTGAGCCCATAACCTTTCCAAAATCAATAAAAAACAACAACTTTTAAAAAGCCATACATTTTTAGAAAAGAAACACTGCCTTTAATTAAAGTGCCAACTTTCACACTAGCAAATAAAATCTTCTTGATCAGTCACTAGAATTAGAGTCATTAGAATTTTCACCGTTGATTTGTTCTTTATATCCTCACCTCACCAATCTTCCTAAGACATTCTTTAATCATCTTGCTTCTGTAGTTTCTCATTGATTTCTATTATCCTCTTAATTCTTTATACATAAGCCTTGAAAACCTGGTTCTCAGTTCACCTATACAACTCTCTATCTCTCACAGCTACCTGCCCCTGTGGGCTCATTTTCTCACTCTCCTTTCATCCTCTACTCTTACCACCTTCATTCTTACCTCCAAACTTCTGCTTTTGCCATTCTCCCTACTTATTCTTTCCTGCCCTTCCTCATTACCTCCTTTCCTAGAGCACACTCTTTTCTCCATTTCACCTACCCAAAACTTACAGACCCTTTAAAATCTACTTCCTTTCCTTCATTCAGTGGACATTTGTTCATGCCATAAAGTATAACCTCCAAAAAGATGTCTTTCCTCAGATAATTTACCAAAAGACACAATATCATTTTTATTCCACATCTAGCTTAGTTGTGACTCTACATCAGGGGGAAATCTCACTTTGGTTCAATTGATATATTACTTTTACCCCACTTTTGACTACCTCTAAATTTAACATAATTAGTAGATGAGCCCTTCACTCCCTTGAGTTATACATCCTAGGCAATTTATCCTAGTTTAAATATTGTTTCTCTGGGCCTATGACACAGCATATAGTTGTAACAAAGTAACAAATATATATCCAGAAGAAAAGATTATAATTACAAATGAGTCTCATAACTGAGATAGTCATAAATTATGTTACATAATGTTTTCATTCTTAAAATCATAAAACTATTAATATTTGAGCACATTAATTATTTTGCCTCTTGCTGTGCAGACATCCAAGAAATAATGGCTTCTCTTAAGGAAAACAAACAAAAAACCCCAAAACTATCCAAATGCTTGGTTTTTTCTTTGTCATCTTCTTGCTATCCTTCTCTTCCCTAAGTTTTTTCCACTTAGCCATCAGTGCAGATAGAACAAAATAAAGAATTGGCATAGTTTTCCCCCGGTCCAGTCAGCCTCCTTACTTCAGTTTAATTCTTTCCCATATTTATGGGGGAAGGGAGAGAAGGAGAAAGAGGATGATGTTAGGAAAATGGAATGTGCTTAGAAGAGCAAAGGGCTTAATAATAAAAGGGGGGGAAAAAACAAGGAGGAAGAATAGGGGAAATATATTGATGTTCTAGGATTGTTTGTGGGAATGAACCAGTCTTTCACCAACCCCTACTAGCTAGTATAAGACCACACATATTCAAGCAATAAGAAAAAATGCATTCAGATAAAAATTATTTTATAACATCTTTACAGAAATTAGGTAGGTGAGGCAAATGAAGAAGATTGGCCTGATCGGTGGCCTTGTCTTACTTATGGTGGCTTTCTCTTCTATTAGCACAGATAATCACATTTCGTTGCAAAAACTTACATTTCATCAATTAAAGGTAGCCAAAGTCATTCCCATCTCAAAATATTTCTCCTGGTAGTATATATAAGGATGTATCACTACTAGTCTTACATTCCAAGGGACTTAAAAATTCCATAAAAAATAATTTTGCATTCAATAAGTCAGTGGATTTTCATTTAATATTATCTGACTGTGCTCTAGAAAACAAGAAATAAAAGAAAAACGTTGGCTAGATAGGTACACATTTGAATTGGAATGCAAGAGGAAGGGAGAATATTTTGTTTTAACTGAGGCAAACTGCTGAGGGGAAAAAAAGCAATTATACTCTTTTAGCAATCTGCTTCTTCTTACCTAAGACATAAATCTCACCGTTGACCACAGCTGTACTGAATCGGTACTTAGAGTACTTCATGGGCGCCCGCTCTGTCCATTGATCTTGGCTGGGGTCATACTGAAACAGTTTGTTGCTTAATCGATCAGGTTCTTCATCAGGAAGATCCATCTGCATGAGATATGACAACCAATATAATAATACACCATTTAAAGATCTCTGTGAGTACATAGATGCAATTAATCTAATCAAATAGCCAAAGAGACAGAGGTTAAATAGTTATGAAAAAACTTAATTACAGATAACGTGTCAGGTATCAGCTGTGATTAAACCTGTACGTCTTTTTGATACAGAGCATGAAATTTAAAATGTAAAGTTTAAGTTTTTAAAATGAGCATGATATTCTGTATACGTGGCAAAGGCCAAGCTGATGAAATAAATGCAAAGCATCAGTTTTATCATGAAGCAAATATGGAGAAATAAGAAATTATATAGGCAAAAATAAATTCAATTATGTTATGTGGGTGGACGAGGAGTTAGTAAGATTAATTTCTATTAGAAAGACTAGATGGCCAGTGGGAAAAGGCAGCTGGAGGGATACGATACTACTGTGAGAGCTCCAAGGCACCGCGAGGAACACCCGAGAGAAGGTAAAGGACCGCACTGTGGTCACACTCGATTGACTTTTCAATTTTGGCTTGTCAACATTCCATGGGCCTTCAATACAAATAGTATTCTGATTTCTCTATCTGCTGATGCCCAGCTAAGACATACAGTGTTTAAAATCACAATATACTTTGTGGAAATGAGCATTCTGGTTTCCCTCTTAGAGTAAGAATTTTAAATGTGGAAAAGACCTTAAAAAAGTTCTTGCCTCGTGTCACACAGCAGTTATGCAGATAGTCCTTGGATGAGGACTCAGCTTCTCTGCCTCCTCCTTAGATGCTCCCTACAGATAATCCCTCAACATAAGCGTCTTTCATTATTAGCAAGATGGGAAGCATCATGAGGAATACAGCATGAGCCCAGCCAGCATGGCTCAGTGGTTGAGCGTTGATCTATTAACCAGGAGGTCACGGTTTGATTCCCAGTTAGGGCACATGTCTGGGTTGTGGGCTCGATCCCCAGTGTGGGACGAGAAGGCAGCAGCCAATCAATGATTCTTTCTCATCATTGATATTTCTATCTCTCCCTCTCATTTCTCTCTGAAATCAATAAAAATATATTTTAAAAAAAGAATACAGCATGAATACTGAATGAAGGCATGTCTATGAGTAACACACTTTAAAAATTCACTCTCCTAAACTGCTTTAATGCTTAAAATCTTAAGTTTAGTATTCTAGAAAATAAAAAATATTTTATAAAAAATGTAAGTCATACTCCTTTAGTATTCAACAACCACAACATTTTCCAACACAGCAGCCAGACTCAACATAGCCATGCCACGTAGGCACATAGGAAATGTCGTAACCTGAGGGGTCCAGCCTCCAATCACATAAAGTCTGTTGTTCACTGTCACTACAGCATGACAGGCCAATGGCAGTGGAAGGGGGGACACCCTTTTCCAACTGTCCCGTTCTACAGAGTACTTATCGACACAGTTTGTGATGAGATACTGGTTTTTAATTTTCATCTGTCCTCCTATAACATAGAGGTCATTACGGACACTGCCCAGAGCATAGAGCTCTCGAAATTCAGCGGTGCATAACTTTTCCCAAAACCGGTTTCCTCGATCATGATACCTGTCAATTAACAGAGAGAGGCGTCAGGATTAGAGTCAACATGAAAACAACTTACCCAAGAAACACACTCAAGTTTCTTTTCCAACTAAAATAATATGATTTAGTTCTTCGAATTGGAAAGGGAAAAAGAATCAATATAAGATAGTGATACAGGCTTTTTGGTTGGTTTTTTTTTCAAGGACTGATGAACAAAATATAATGTGCATAAAAACAACCACACCAACCTGCAGAATTTTAGGAAAAGTAATATATTGAAAAAGTACAGATTACCCAGGACTAGCCTTCATTTCCTAAGTCTGGGGAAGAAAATCAAGAACAATAGGAGGCCTAGCCAGTTTGGCTCAGTGGGTAGAGCGTAGGCCTGCAGACTGAAGGATCACAGGTTCTATTCTGGTCAAGGGCACCTACCTCGGTTGTAGGCTCAACACCCAGCCCTAGTGGGGGAGCGTGTGAGAGGCAACCAGTCGATGTGTGTCTCTCTCACATCGATGTTTCTCTTTCTCTGTCTCTCCCCTCCCTTCCACTCTCTCAAAAAATCAATGGAAAAATATCTCCTGGTGAGGATTAACACACATACAATAGGAAAGTCTTTCAGCAAACCATTTGTAACTTTGCCATAAGAGAATAAGAAGTAAAAATAAACACAAAAAAGTCTCTTCTGTGGAATAGAAGTTTCAGTTTAGTACTACATTAAAGAAATAAGTTTTTGAGCAGAAAATCTGAAAATATCTCCATTCAATGACTTCTAATGAGATGATGTAGGATGTGTAGACTTTAAAGATTGTTCTCGCGGTTCTAACTGGCTTAGAACAGCATCAAGAGCTCCTGTGGGTGTATGGAAATCCGCCTGCAGGCGTCTGTTGGGCATTTAACATCTATTTTAATCCCCTAGATATGATAATTTCAGCGATTTCTTCCATGAATAATTAAGTCAGCCTGAGAAAAATCTTGGGAGATAGGGACATTAGGATATATGATCTCTCAATACCTCCAGAAGTCCAACACGTTAATTGATTATATCTCTGTGTGTGTGTGTATGTGTGTGTGTGTGTGTGTGTGTGCACGCGCACGTGTGTAGCATTTTATCATGCCTCTTGATAGTGGTAAGTCCATCTTGATTTGGGACAGTCTAAGAAGGACAAAAGTACTTATGGGGACAGTGGGATAACATATGTGATATTAGATCTGTCCTAGAAAATCCAGAATGTATTCAAAGCTAAAACAAAACAAAACAAAACAACAAAAAAAGTAAAATATAGAAAATAGGAAAAAAGTTATTCTGTTTGGAAACAAAGAAAAAGTTATATGTGTGTGTTCTATATGGAGTACAATTTTAACGTATGGACTACTGATTTTGCGTCAAATATTGACATTTGATCATATTTATAGGAGTTTTTCTCAATTGTTTTAGGTCAACTTTTTCATTCTTCCCCAGAGATGACTTTTCACTTTAAGCCTGACAGATAAGTTGGAAGCTTATGCTCCTTTCTTAGAGGGTATGGCTGGCTTGTCCAAACTGAGCACAGACATTTATCAAACCTCACAATAGCTGTCTTTTATGAAATTCTAGGTAGGAAACCAGAGCCCCTAGCATCACAGGTGAATCACTATTTTATTTTATTATTTTTAATATACTTTTTATTGTTGGTAGTATTACAGATATCTCCTTTCCCCCTTCCCTTACACCCCCTCCCCCCGACTATTTTAAATTGTACTGGATTTTATAAGAAAAAGGAGGACTACTGAAGTAAAGCCAGTGAATGAATATACACGAAGAACTAAAAAATGCATTTTGGTTTACTGAGACATGATTCAAGAAAACAGGGCAAGAATGAAATACATCCTGTGAAGGTTTGGATGTACATGTTTGCTGGGCAACTTGCTAATCTGATTTTTAACATTTTGAACTGAAAATGGAGAGAGAAAATGCCCAGATAAAACTGTAAAATTTGGGAGCACTGAGATCTTGCTTCCCAGCAATTATCAGTTTGGGCTCAAATAAAATCATAAAAATTAAAAAAAACCACTAAAATTTATTAAGAAAAATGGGTAAGACATAAAGAAAATAATAGTGACAAAACATTCAATGTTCTCAGAGGTTGACAGTCTAAAAACAACACACAACCTCAGCTGTATATCGAAGTATGGGAAATAAGTAAAGGAGATGGAAAGGTATACGTTTTTGAAAAGAAATGACTGACTAGAGTATGAATCTGCTTCCTTTTTTAGTCAAAAAGAAATATATCTGCATAAAAATCTATGAACTATGGAGTACAAACAAATTGAAGTGCATCTGGACAAAAATAAAAGGGATGAGAAACAGGGATAATATAGCAGGAATATCCCACAATTGATTTCTCATACATTTCACAAAATTGGCACTACAGTGACCTTCAGTAGTGCTGTGAGGTTTTAACTATCCAGACAACTACTGAAAGTATCATTTAAGCCCAAAGCAGTGCTTCTGACAATTTCATTATTGAAGGAAATGAAGAGGGTAACTGATATTTTTACCCCAATTCTGACCAACGTGGAGGAACTGGTGGGTGATGGGAACCTGGTTGAGTTCAAGACAGATAGATAAGATAGACATATGCTGTAAGAAAGGAAGCAGGCTTTCAAAAAAGTTAAGAGGTAAGATGTTTGAGGATCAAAACAGAAACACATTTTGATAGGCTTGGACATTTATTAAAAGAACATATGTATATATGCACAACCCATGGACACAGATAATAGTGTAGGGAAGGCCTGGGGTGGAACTGGGGCTGGGCAAAGGGGGCATCTGTAATACTGTCAACAATACATTTAAAAAAGTTCCGAGGGCGGTTTTGTGGACTATCTTGATCAGGAAGAAAAGGAGCCATTTAAAGGACCTGAGGCACTTTTAGCAAGAGGCTCTCAAGTGGAAAGAAGTGCATCTTACCAAGACCAAATAATACAAGTGGCCATGGATCTATGAGACTCATGCTGGGGAAGCCAGAGCTTCCTCTTCCTGTAGGGACTGATATCTTGGCTCTTTAGTGGTGACCTGGTAATTCTGAAGAAGGCTGCCCCTTCTGCTCCGTGACATGCTCTGCCACAAGGGGCATAGGTCCAGATCATTTATTCAGGGCTCTGCAATCCCTCCCCTCTCTCTACTAGGTAGGAATAAAACACATCTCCAAAGGGTGAATGTGAAAAAGGGACAGGTCTATAGCTGGAAACATTGAGTGCTAAGAGGCGACAGAAAGATAGCAGACCTCTTAATTCTTCTTTGTCGAAACCTCACTGTCCAGAAGCATTACTTTCTGATGGAAAAGTCTTAACAAACCCTGGTAAGAGAGTACTGAGAGGAGAAAGATATTGAAGGAGAGCTTTACTGTCTAGTATGTGTTCTATGTGCATATTTATTACTTACCCAGTTAGATGTAAGAACTGAATACTCACTGGATACTTGCCGAATGAATAGTAAACAAATGTACGTGTCCTCACATACAAGACCTAGGGGATATGCTACTTCTTAGCAGACACTCTTGTTCCTCGTACAGTTCTAGGGTGGAAGCACTCTTACTTAGGCTACAAACATTTTATACTGTCGGAGGTTTAGGGAAGATCCACAAATTAAGGATACAGAATGGAAAGTGACATATAACTAGTAATTTTTGTTTGAGGAAAAAATTAGTACTCTGAAGCAGGAACTAAACTAAATCAGTTCAAAGGAGTCAGTAGAAATTAATTTTTCTTCTGGTTAAAAGTTATATCAAGTTCTTCAAAAACAAAGTATATTGATAAATAAGGAAAGAATGAAAATATACAATGGAATCACAACATACATTTAACTTATGCAAATTCAACTATATGTTTTTAACAAATGGAGAGAAAAAGTTTTTTTTTAAGTATGGGTGATTTAATTATGAGTTTTACATATATGTAGAATGTATAATTACAGGATAATTTTGACTACATGATATTTAAGATGTGATCATTCTTTCAGTAGTGTTTTCTGCCACTGTTGCTAATGTCAAAGCAAGATAATGAAAACAAACACAAATATAGTGCTAGATACAAACCTATAGATTTCAACATTCTTGTTCTTTTGTCTAGAGAGTTTAGAGGCACTTGCTTCTCCAGCCACAATTACAGCATTGTTTTCCATGACAACACCAGTGCACACAGTTCCTAAACCCTCCCCGTACTTGGGGGAGGAGATAAAGTAGGTCTTCCGTGATGCAGGGTCATAACAAAAACTGGCATCCCCATAGTTCCTACGTCTTGACTTGATTCCTGAAGAATTATTGCCAATGCAAAGCAAAAGACTAGTCGTCTCCATGCCGTAGCGAAGGTTTAGAGGGTGTTGTTGGGGTGTCTTGAAGGCTTTGAATGTGTTTTGAATGATGTCAATGCAATTGGCATCACATAGAAGCATCGTGTTCCTCTTTAGGGCTTGTCTTAAGAAAGAAGGATTTATAAGCTCCAATCTGACTTGCTTCAAAAGCTCAACAAGATGCTCTTTGCGCAATTCTTGGTTATGATTTACCCACCTCAGAACTAAGTCCAGAATGCTCTCCTCTCTGGAAATGTTAAGGTCATCTGATTTAATAAGCGTCAGAAACTGGTGCACTTCAAGTTCGAGTATCTCTTCATGTAAGCTCACCTCCGCAAAGTGCTGATATAAATATTTCTTCGACTGATCAGATAAATCTTCAGCTCCAATCTGCTTTGCAAAATAATAGATACCTACACAGTTGAAGGCATCCATGTGGTCCATCATATATTTTTGACACACACTAAAGACTTCTTCCATCTGCATAAAGTAGGCAGCCATAGCTACAGTTTGTACATTGGAATTATTGATCTCCAATGCTGCACTGTACATATAATTTAATATAACTGACACGCTCTCTGCTGTGATGTCATAGAGTACCACTTCTCTCTGAGTACATTCAATTAGTCCACAGGTGAACATGGCTTTGAAATAAGGACTAAAGGCAGCCAGGACCAATCTGTGGCAAGGAAATCTCTCTCCTTCTGCTATGAGTACTACATCGACCATTTCCGCTAATTCTTTCATGTGCTTAATTTTATTCAGTAAATTCAAGCTATGTTGGCATTTTTCTTTCCCCTCAAGTCTGAACTCCATGATACACTCTCCCGTGTTTCTAAGTAAGTCGTCTTTAAGTTTAGCTTGATTCTTGAGGGGCTATTTGCATGTCTGATTACTCACAAAGCAACAGAGATGTCTTATAACATTCCTGAGGGAAAGAAAAAGAAGCAGTTTTCCTCTAAGAAAAAAGTCTCTATAATATTAAAAATGCAGCATTAGTTCAAAGAAGCATTTATAAATAAATATTATTCATTCCAAACAGAATAGTTTAACTTTAAGATATCTACTTTTTCATACCTAAAAACAATGTCAATTGTATAAACAGTAAATTTGTATTTTCCTAACCAGCAGCAGAGACTTTTCTAGGGGGGCTGGCAAGTCCTCCCTCCCATGGTGAATGAAGACAGAAGCCATAAGATGGGCACATTTTGCAGTTCCACTTCCAGTTACCAAATACAGCTGCCCTCCCTGCAGGCAGTGGGTACAGAGCAGTGGTTCTCAACCTTCTGGCCCTTTAAATACAGTTCCTCATGTTGTGACCCAACCATAAAATTATTTTCATTGCTACTTCATAACTGTAATGTTGCTACTGTTATGAATCATAATGTAAATATCTGATATGCAGGATGGTCTTAGGCGACCCCTGTGAAAGGGTCGTTCGACCGTCAAAGGGGTCGCGACCCTGGTACAGAGGCATGAGGTAACGGGGTCGCGACCCACAGGTTGAGAACCGCTGGTACAGAGGCATGAGGTAAATTCTCTCTGACGAGATGCAACATCACCTGAAATGTTATGTGCATCTCCCCAAAATGCACCCAAATGTTAACATGGCCACTTCACAAAGTCACAACAGGGGCCATGGAGTATGGCTGAAAGAAAAAAAAAAAGTCCCCTAAAGTTCTGCTCAAAACGTTGCTGTGGGGCAAACCATTCAATACAGATGCCTTGGAAAGCACAACCCAATATCTGCTGATTTGAGACTTCACAACACTCGAAACTTACATCTAAATCACCCTAAGCTTAGAAAAGGCAAAAAGTCATTAGGTTTCTCTCTCCTCCCTCCTTACTCAGCGTTTCTTTGTTCCCTTTTTTTATAGTAGCAGAGACGGCATCATTTCTCAACTTAAAGGGCACTCGTCTAATGAAAAGTCTCTCGAAGCTAGATGTCTCATCTTCATCTTCCCCAGGGAAATGGAAACAGCTGTTCCAAGGAAGTGACTGCGCAGATTTGATTTATGAAGGAGATTCCTCGAGTCAGTAACCTTAACGTGAGGAGGGGATCTTAAATATCTGTCATCCTTTCTAGTTCGTACTTGGCTATGAGTTGCATGCAATAAGAATAAACATTAATGGCAGAAAAGTCAGTACTAAGAGGTTAAGAAAGAAGGGGAGGTGATAATTTCAACAACGGGAACACAACATTTGCAGCTGTGAATTTTATACTTTTTCTAAATCTCTGTGATCCTGGAAAGAGTTAGAACTCTCATGTGTCTCAATAAGGCATGGCATTATTTTCAGTGCGAAATTAAAGTTCTTTTCAGGAAACAAGTGTTAAGCATGATAGGAATGTTTAATTATATAATGGCAACTTTAAGACCTATAAAAAGGAATTATAACAACTAGCCAGAATCTGTATACTTGAAATAGGAATAAAACCCTTCTTGCCAGATTTTCTGGCATTAATAGCTCAGTTTTATTTCAGTAGGAGCTTAAGACTTTATTTGCAAGGATTTGCAGGTTAAAAGAGTCATTATATTTCTGAACTCTTCTATAACACCTTATGACTAGCCTAAATCATATTATGTAGGCTCCTTTATACATAAGAACATCAATCAACTTTACAGATAATAGTTGTTACTTTAAGTTGAAAAAGCATAAAAGCTTTCTTATAAGAAAATACATATTTAAGCATTTTTAGTGTGGCATGGATGTACAAGACTCCCTCAGAGGATATCGACATTAACAATACTGGAAGGCCAAGTGCAGCTTCCAGATACGATCACTAGATCTAATATGCTGCAGGCAATTCAGACTCATAGTTCCTAAAACGTTGATCTTGATGTGGCTAGGACAGAAGCGAGTTGCTGAGGACCCAAATGATATGACTAAACCCCTAGGATTTCATATCTTCTTTTAAAAAATGTTTTTATTGACTTCAGAGGGAGGAAGGGAGAGGGATAGAGGGATAGAGAGATAGAAACATCAATGATGAAGAATCATTGGCATGTCCCCTACTGGGGATCCAAGCCCTGACCTGGAATCGAACCCGTGACCTCTTGGATCCTGGGTCGAGCCCAAAACCCAGGCATGTGCCCTGACCGGGAATTGAACTATAATCGCAATAGGTGACCTGGTTCATAGGTCAATGCTCAATCACTGAACCACACCAGCTGGGTGGATTTCATATCTTTAAGGCAGGAACCAAACCATCCTTGTCAAACATTTTGAAATAGGGCTATTTTAATAAAAACACAGATGGCATTAGTTTCAAAGAGAGGTTAAGAATAGAACAATAACTAGCACATTTCCTGCTTGTTTTCTTATAAACACATTATACATAATATCTTATAAACGACTTTATAGTGGACAATGTTGGGTTTCCTCCAGCATCCAACTTGCCTGCATTTGGTGAAATTGGGGTGGGATTGACTCCCATCTCCCTCACCACTGTGACTGGTTCAGGGATGGGTGTAAGATCTGAGATTGGCCTAATCAGAGTGTAGTTCAGGTCTCTGGTTCAACAGCTGGGGGTGTCCATGTGCTATGTAGATGAGAGGTCTGGAACTGCTACAGCCATATTGTCATAAGCCAGTACCAGGGCAATATGGGGAAGAAGCAGCGAATCCAGGGCAATGGAGTTTGAAGCATGCCTTATATCTGTATTTTTCAGTTTTGAGGGACGAGCCATTCCCTTTATTGTTTAAGCTAGTTTGAACTGATATTGCTGTTATTGGCACTCAATAGTCCTTATGAGTATATGTGGTAAATGTAAAAATATCGAGAAAAGGTTGAGTAAGGTACTTGCAACTATAATTTTATAAATTTCCACTTCTGTTATATTATTATACTTTCAATTATTACACTGTCAAGTAAAAGAACTATAGAAACCTCTACTTATCATCATTTCTCCTTAATAGAAGGCAACAACACTAAGACACTCTTCTGTGTTTACCTCTTTTCATTAAATGGCCACATTACACAGGTGCAAGAACTGAGTCTTGAACCCAATTCTATCTGACTCCAGGCAGGGCACATGACTGGGTTGTGCTCAATCCCTGATAGGGGGCATGCTAGGTCTATGTTCTACTCTCACAACGATGCTTCTCTTACTCTCTCCCTCCCCCTTCCTCTCTGAAAATCAATAAAAATATTTTTAGCCCTAGCTGGTTTGGCTCAGTGGATAGAGCATCAGCCTGCAGACTGAAGGGTCCCGGGTTCGATTCTGGTTAGGGCACATGTCTGGGTTGCAGGCTCGATTCCCAGTAGGGAGCATGCAGGAGGCAGCCAATCAATGATTCTCTGTCATCATTAATGCTTCTATCTCTCTCTCGCTCTCTCTTCCTCTCTGAAATCAATAAAAATATATTTAAAACAACAACAACAAAATATATTTTTTAACAAAGAGAAAATAATGGGCAATATGGCAACAGTGGGCCCTTAATTCCCATGGCAACTACAATGTGCAGGACTTGAGTAGCCAGTTGCCACCTCTCAGGTGCACATCTAATCACGTGCACTACCCTAAATGCACTCTGAGTCTCCCACTGGTATGGACAAATGCCTGATTCATTTAATAGGAATAGTCATCCCCACACTGGGCATTTAATGAAGGCCAGGAGATAAGACACGCTTCTTCTTTCCTTGAGGAGTCCACAGTGTTTTGCATTCTCACCGTGCTTTATACTTTTTAAAGAGCTTAAAGATGCTTTATAGCTCATTAGTTCTGCTAAAGAATCCTTGGGGGGGGGGGGGTGGTGCACGGCAATTATATTCGTGGCTTTAAAGTTAAGAGAGTTGCCCGGGGATACTTCGATGTTTATTGAAAAATTTTCAAGTGCCAGGCACTCTTCAGGGTTCTAGCAAGACAACCTGGAACAGAGGGAGGCTTGCTTCTACCTTTCTGGAGCTTACAGTCTAGTAAGGGAGGCAAATGATCAAGCAGTTAGTAGTCCAGAGAATGACAGCGCCATGAAGGCTACCAAACTGCATAATGTGACAGGAAGGGGAAGAGAGCCCGGCTGGGTGGAGGTGGTCTGGGGAGGAGGCCTCTGCTGAGCTGGGCCCTGCTGGCCAGAGCTGGCCCAGGGCAACGCAAGGGAAGCGCTACACCAAGACAGGGCTCTAGGCGCCCGCGTGTCCCGCACTCTCCTACTTACGCGGTGCTGCCCCTGCTTGGGGTATGGCCCCCTGGCTCCCTCCGCAGAGGCCGCCCGGTGGCTGTCAGGACGCTCCTGGCTGTCAGGACGCTCCGGAGTCTGGAGGGCGCGGGCCGAGGGCGCTGGCGGCTGGCGACGGGCCTGACGGACCGGCACCGCCTAATATGGGCCTGTGCGGCCGCGGAATAAATAGGCCGCTCAGGATGGGCATGGGACCAGGTACGCGCCCTGCTCAGGGCAGAGGAGGAGGGAGGGCGCAGGACTCTCTGGCTCCCCAGGCCGCTCTGCTGCGGGTCACCCCCGTGCCAGGGCCACTGAAGATCCGCCAGGAGGGGCTGAGGACACATTTCTAAAGAGAACCTGGAAGTCAGATTTTTAAAAATGACAAATCTATCCGTTTAGTCTGTAAAAAAGAAAGAACTCTTACTATTTGCAGCAGCATGAATGGACCTGGAGAGTATGATGCTAAGCGAAATAAGCCAGGCAGAGAAAGAAAAGTACCACATGATCTCACTCCTATGTGGAATCTAATGAACAAAATAAACTGATGATAAAAAATAGACCCAGAGACACCTGGGAAACACTGGTTGGGCAGAAGAGGACCGCAGGATAATTAAGAATATGGCAAGACAGAAGCTTTACGTCTGTATAAAGGCACAAACCAAGACGCTCTTGGAAGATTTCAGATGTTAGAGGAGCGAGAAGAAGGTGGGACCCAGCCTGGGCAGGTAGGAAGGAAGAGAAGCCAAAGTGGAGGTGGCGGAAACACCAGCAGCCTGTACTGGGGCGCACAGAAAGGGACTCCTTCCCTGTAACCAAGTATGAAATGGGAAGAGATACCGGGGGTTTGTGATGACCCCTTTGGTTGATTGAAGGGGTGAGAGGCAGTGGGAGGTCTCAGAAGAAGCTGTCTAGAATGAAGCTCTGGAGAATCTGTTTGTTGTTTTTTTCATAACCCAATTGTTATTTTTTAAAAATAATTTTATTTTTTAATTATAGTCCACATACAATATTATATCAGGTATACAACCCAGTGATTCCACATTATATAACTTATTGATTGATCACCCCAATAAATCTAGTACCCATTTGACACTGTACATAGTTACTATAATACTAGAGGCCCGATGCACAAAAGTAGGCCTTCCTTCCCCTGGCTGCCGGCACTGGCTTCCCTCTGGCACCTGGGACCAGGGCTTCCCTCGAAGCCCCAGCTTCATCTGGAAGGTGGTCCGGAAGGACATCCGGTCTAATTAGCATATTATGCTTTTATTATTATAGATTATTGACTATACACCCTATGTTTTACTTTATATCCCCAGGACTATTCTTTTTATATATATATTTAAGGACTATTTTATTTGTTTAGTTTAAATCTTTATTGTTGAGAGTATGTCCCCCCCATTGCCCCTCTCCACCCAGTTCCTGCCTGCCCCAGGCCTTCACCACCCTATTGTCTGTGCCCATAGGTAATGCACACATACATATAAGTTATTTGGTTAATCTCTTCCTGCCCCCTCCCCCCTTTTCCTCTGAGATTTGTCAGTCTGTTCCATGTATTCATGCCTCTGGTTCTATTTTATTCATCAGTTTATTTTGTTCATTAGGTTTCATGTTCATTTATTTTGATTTTTATATTCAATTGTTGATAGATATGTATTTATTGCCATTTTATTGTTCATATTCTTCTTCTTCTTCTTCTTCTTCTTCTTCTTCTTCTTCTTCTTCTTCTTCTTCTTCTTCTTCTTCTTCTTCTTCTTCTTCTTCTTCTTCTTCTTCTTCTTCTTCTTCTTCTTCTTCTTCTTCTTCTTCTTCTTCTTCTTCTTCTTCTTCTTCTTCTTCTTCTTCTTCTTCTTCTTCTTCTTCTTCTTCTTCTTCTTCTTCTTCTTCTTCTTCTTCTTCTTCTTCTTCTTCTTCTTCTTCTTCTTCTTCTTCTTCTTCTTCTTCTTCTTCTTCTTCTTCTTCTTCTTCTTCTTCTTCTTCTTCTTCTTCTTCTTCTTCTTCTTCTTCTTCTTCTTCTTCTTCTTCTTCTTCTTCTTCTTCTTCTTCTTCTTCTTCTTCTTCTTCTTCTTCTTCTTCTTCTTCTTCTTCTTCTTCTTCTTCTTCTTCTTCTTCTTCTTCTTCTTCTTCTTCTTCTTCTTCTTCTTCTTCTTCTTCTTCTTCTTCTTCTTCTTCTTCTTCTTCTTCTTCTTCTTCTTCTTCTTCTTCTTCTTCTTCTTCTTCTTCTTCTTCTTCTTCTTCTTCTTCTTCCTCTTCTTAAAGAATGTCCTTCAACATTTTATAATACTGGTTTGGTAGTGATGAACTCCTTTAGCTTTTTCTTGTCTATGAAGCTTTTTATCTGACCTTCAATTCTAAATGATAGCTTTGCTGAATAGAGTAATCTTGGTTGTAGGTCCTTACTATTCACCACTTTAAATATTTCTTGCTCTCTTGTAGGTAACTAACTGCTATTCTCTTGCTGCTTTTAAGATTCTCTCTTTGTCTTTAACCTTTGGCATTTAAATTATGGTGTGTCTTGGTGTGGGCCTCTTTGGGTTCCTCTTATTTAAGACTCTCTGTGCTTTCTGGACTTGTAAGTCTATTTCTTTCACCAGGTAGGGGAAGTTTTCTGTCATTATTTCTTCAAATATGTTTTCAATATCTTGCTCTCTCTCTTCTCCTCCTGGCACCCCCATAATGCAAATGTTATTATACTTGAACTTGTCCCAAAGGCTCCTTATACTATCTTCATATTTTTGGATTCTTTTTCTTTTCTGATTGGGTGTTTTGCTTCCTCATCTTCCAAATTGTTGTTATTATATATATTTATTGGCACTTTATTATTTTGTTATTCATGTTTTTAATCTTTTTTTTTGCTTCTTCTTCTTCTTAAAAAAGACCTTTTAATATTTATTTCTTCTATTAAAAAGTTTTAATGTTGACATAATTGCAGGTGTCCTTCTTTTCCTCATCCTTTGCCCACCTCTTCCCACCTCCCCCTCCTCTGCCATGGCCTTCACCAAACTATTGCCCATGTCCATAGGGTATGCATCAATGTCCTTTGGTTAATCCCTTCATCTTCTTTATCTAGGCATCCCCCACCCCTCGGGCACCTAGTAATCTGTTCCATGTATCCATGCTTCTGGTTCCATTGTGTTCATCAGTTTATTTTGTTCATTAGATTGTTTTATTTTTCCAAGTGTTGAGCTAGTTGTTCCACTCCCATTATTAAATACTCCATCTGGAGTTTTCTCACTTGAAATTCTAACTTTCTCCTATACCAAATTTCCGTATTTACTTTTTCCATTTCTGCAATGTCTTTTTTCCTACTGGGCTGTCAGTTTAACCTGTCTCAGTAACATTCTACTTTAAGTCCTATAGCTTTAAAATATCTTTTAACTCATGCTAGGGTAAATTTGTTTTTCTTTCAAAATTTTCTTGACTATCCTTATACATCTCCTTTTTTAACTTCAATTTTAGAATCATTTTATCAAGTTTCTAAGAAAACTACTTTGGAATTTTATTTAGAATCACAAAAACTAAATAATTGGATAAAAAGTAAAATGATAGACACACACTTCTTTTACTTAGGTGGGTGCAGGATAGTTAACAGTCAACAATTAACTCAATGACAACTAGGGGATTTGTGGTCTCTGCAGAGCGGTGCCTGTGCTTTGAGGGGTCCAGAAAAAAGAAAATTACTTTGACATTACAATGATATGCAAAAAGACAACAGACAGGCTCAGTTAAGGTAAAGACTGACTTTTGTCAGGCAGGATACCAGTCTAGGACGACTACGACTACCCACCATAAACTGCTTTTTAGTTAAAACGGTTTAATTTTAGACCATCCTTTGTGGTTAGTTTAGGTCTCTGAGTTTGCAAGGCTGCCATGTAGGCCTCCCCGGAGCTTGTCAGGTTTAGCAAGTGGCCACTTTTCATCCACAGGACCAAGGTGGCTAAAGGTGCTTTTTTATTCTTGGTTTTGCTTGTTTGGAACTACCTCTAAATCAAACAAAATATAATAGATAAAAGACAGTGATCTACTTGAATATCATGTAATCACCAGGGGGTTTTGGTTCTATGCAGTTTGTCTTGATTGACTCCGTTGTTTCCCTCTGGTTTGCTGCAATATTGTGACTTCTGAGGACGTGTGTGCTATTACATTTTGAACTTGTGTGAATTTCTTTTACTTCAAGTGGGTCTACATGCAGCCACAGCAATGCTCACTTTGTGAGAACAAGATACAGCTTATTACCAACGAGTTAAAGGATGTCCTGTGACCTCAGCCTGTACCCAACAAACCAGTGCTTCCTGGAATGCTCCCCGGCTTTCCCTTCCGTGTGTGGGGCCAGGCACTAGCTCTACTCAAAGACACAGTGTTGAAGAGGAATAGTGAGATGACCGTGGACTTTTGTAGACCTGTGAAACTTAGTTCAGCTGAAGAAGTCTTTTCATTGTAATCATTTCTGACCTGGGTAGTGGCTTTCTTTCCCACCCCCTACCCCCATCCCTTTAAATGTGCTGTAACCATAAAAAGGTTACCAACCAGGGGAAGTCAGTTTAGGGCCAGTAAGGAGGGATTTAAGTGTAACTGTGTAATTGACAGGATGATTCATTACTTTGTAGGTCACTGGAAAGGAGCAGAATTTCTCAAACTGTGTTCCCTGGGTTGATATTAATCATACAAATGCCCTAAGCACAAAAAGTTCTCAGGGTTCCAGGGCCAAGTTGGCTTAGGATATGCTGCATACTAATTCCCCAGAGAGGGGACTTTACAATGTGCATTAGCATATTAAAAGTTCTGAGAAGTACCGCAGGGAAGAATTCAGTTTTAGTTTTCTGAGTGATTAAGCAGATATATTAGTACAAAGGACAAGTTTCTTTTAAGCCAAACAGGTTTCCCTTAGCACCAGTTTTGGAAGGGCTAGAGGAGATTGAATGGAATTTTACTTTCTCTTTTGTCACAGTCTCCCCAGCCCCCATTAAAACATGTGTCCATTAACGTAAGAAGACATTCAAATCTGTAAAGAATTTTTGTGAGTTTATTTGAGTCAAACTGTCGACATTGCGGGGAAGCAGAATCTCTACATATTGGGATAATGCTCCAGGGAATGGCGGTTTTTCACCTGTTTTTATAAATTACCATCAAAGGTGGAGATGTAAGTGGGTTATATGAAATGCATTGGTGATAGATTAGGGAGGTGGGAGAAAGCAAAGGGTCGGGGAGAGAAACCTCTGGGATTGGATAAAAAGTAAAATGATAGACACATA